TGGACTCAGTTATGATACACAATACATATATACGGCTCAATGTTACCGTATTGAAGGCAGATGGAGTGAAGAAAAAAGCATCACATTCCACACTGGAGGGGACATGTCGGTTGATGGTAAGAGCAAAAAGTACACAAAATAATCGACAGGCCTTAAACATTTAGCCCAAACAACGACACAATAGTAATAGGCCTATATTATTTTTATTGGTCTTTATTCAGTAAGAAACATACATTTACAATTAATAAATAATTGTAAAAAATGTAAAAACATCTAACATATCATTCATACATCCACCACCCATCCACAGGAGGTATTAAATAAAATAAAGTCAATATTTTGAAAACAAATAGGTCTTGAATATTATAAGATGTAATTGTTGAATCTGGATTGTTTTGTTGTTTAAACATATTTTACCATTTTGATTTTATGTTTTTGTAAAATATCAATTGCATACCCACACTCCTGTGTGCTTATGTATTTTTGTTGTATTTTTGACTGAATAACCCTTTCCCGTGGGTTTAAAAATATTTGTCTAAATAACAAAACTATGACGGTTTGTTTCTTAAGTTGATTGGAAGGAAAAATGTATGTCAGACCTAAAACTTGCAGCAGTAAGCAATACTGTATTTGAATGGAATGTAAAAGAACTAAGAAATAAGGAGGTAAGAATATGGTGAATCAGTAGCTAGGTTTTTAACATTTTAGGATTATTGTATTATTATTATTGTCAAAAAACACTATTGTCATCATCGCCATATCATCATCAAAATTATTATCACCGTCATCAACAGCATCCTCTTTACAGAGGGCCGTCTTCTCATAAGTCAAACTCCACAGCATCCGAACAGCCATATTATTTTGTTTTGTGATTGATGATACACATTGAATACAGCTTAGTGTACTGTTTGAAAGAAGAGATATTCAAAGACAGTTTTCTTTCCTATCAACAGTTTTGTCTACCAAGTACTTAAAGTAGATGAAAATCAAATTTCCATGATCTTGACCTTGATTTTGACCTTTTCTTTCCAACACTTTCTTAGATTATTATGTATCATTCCACTAAATTTTATGATGATCTATTCCTGAATAATGTTGCTAGCAGACAGGCGAATACAAACTTGTTGGGCGAAAGTATAAGAATCAACAATGCACGCTATTACCCTATATCAACCCACCTCCCCATGATCTATGGTAAATATTCATTATGTGCACGTTTCTCAACTTACAGCAGTGTATTCAGAATGCTATAGATACGTCATGGATTCTTCAAATGGATGACACTGAAGCTGGAATTGTTCTCTATTCCGTAAAATGTCAGCAAGGCTGCCAGCATTGCAATGATGAATCCCTTCGACCATGTAAGTCTAATACCAAAATATACTGTATAAAAAGACCTGGAAAAGTAATTACAATAGTCCTACTGTTAGTAGTATTGCTTTTATGATTCAGTTTACCCTCCAATTCGAGACCCCTCTAATTCTGAAAATTCCTAATTCCAGACCACTTTTTCAAAGTATCAGACAACCACCAAGCTAACCCTCTAATTATCTGAGATCGACCCCTGAAACCGCCCACATTTTCAGGGTACCAAGAGTGGTCTCAAATTAGAGGGCAATCTTCATTGGCATTTAAAAGAGCTGTATACCAGATGACAGATAGAGTACAGTGAACTTGAAATATTAAAGGTGGTCATGTACAATGTACGCAATGGTTAACGCACAATACTGTATTTAAATATATATTTTGTAGATCCTCCACAAGAGATTACTTACAGATCAACGACTGGATCAGACTTGTGTGTCAGATGGAAAGGAAATGTATCAACAAATTATACAATGTATTATACCCAAGGAAGGTAAGTTGAAATAATGATTATGCTGCTATTCTGCTGCTGTTGCTGCTTCTGCTGATGATGATGATGATATTGACGATGATGATGATGATATTTCTATGCACCTGAAAAGAGAGTTTTTCGTTGAAGAGCTATGCTAATATGATCATGACATCAAGTGTAGACCTAAAGTACATTCAAGCACCTTTATTGGCTTTTCTTCCCCGCACCAGCTTAAATGTCAATTTTTACTGCTGATTTTATTTCTGCTTCTATTCTGTTTCATATTGTTTTACACAGGGTTTTTCTGTCGGTGCTTGGATCTTCTTCAAATATTGTCCAAGTAAAGACCTTATCAAAGATGTGCATATTAAAATATGACGTCATTCTATAACATAAATGGATGGACAAAGTATTTTATGAATTCAATTTTTATTTTCAAAATCGTTTTAAACTAGCTGCAACTATGTTAAATGTGTGTGGGTTGGGGGTTCTACAGCCTACATCGTATAAGTTCTTGTTTTTCTTTATTTTGTACTTTTCTATTGTTGGTATGAAAAACAAATTGAGCTATTTTCTGTCAGGAAGAATAAAGTAAAACTTGAACCCAATCTTGAATCTTGAATTTTTACTCTTAATCAAGCGGTATGATGCCTTGATAGCGAGATGTTGCAGGTTCAAATCCTGTCAGAATTACCTTTTATGTCTTTCGTTGATGAGCTACTTCTACGATCATAATATCATTCTTATATTCACTGTAGTTACTAGTTATCTATTTGTTAATATAGGTCAATGAAATAAAATAGTGGTAGAAACAGCACTCAAAGGAACAATAATGTTCGTATTGGCATAGCCTATCCACGAAAACCTTCCTTATGGATTGTTTGGGAAAATGCTCCTAGCTGAAACTAAACCACTAATACCACTGATAACTCACTGTCATAGGGAGTCTTACCAGACAAGCCCCTGATAGTACTGTATATTGTAAACACAATCAAACCAACGACAATTTTCGAGCAGATATACACCCTGACAACGTGGGGCGGAGGGAAACTAATGACTGAATCTGCGCCAGGATTCGCCCAACAGGGAATCCGAGGTTCCCGTCGAGGTGGGAGGGGGGACAACGTACCCGACGAGAACAAAGTGGGCTTGGTCGGGCGTTACTCAAAATATTTTTAAGGTGGTCCAGGGGTGTAGAAAATACATATAATGATAATGATGGTGATGGCGATGAAAATGGTGAGAATGAGGGCAGTGTTGGTGGTGGTGGTGTTTGCGTGAAGATGGTGATGAATGAGATCTAAGGGTTTTGATAATCCATTATTTTATATGTATTGAGTATTTGTATATTTATAGAGGATACTGTTCAGATGAGTACCAGCGGTGCTTATACACATCTAGATGTGTATAAGAGACAGTATATATATAGTGCTCAGATAGGAAGATGGTATTATCGTATCAAGCATAGACTTTCAACGAAAATTCATTTTACTTCATTTGTATGAAAAAAAGTGTCTCTGGTGAGATTCGAACCTGCAACCTCTCACTATTAAGCTGAGTGTCATACTCATTAGACTAATGGTTATGAATCATTTGTTGCAATAATTTTGTACAGTTCAAGTGTAGAAATAACCGTACATACAATTAATGCACAGTATTGAAGGTACCTGTACCAGCCCTAATTAATGACTTTATTCTTATGTTTTCCTGATAGCCATACCCAATCCACTCAAGAGTTTTACCTATCAGCTTCTAGATGATACAACAGTTCAGGTTAAGTTTGAGGATCCTGAAGATTGGAATTTTGATTCATTCTCTTTATTGAATAAACGAATTTGTCAAATATCCCCACCAGTTGAAGACGGTGCAAAATGCAAAACTAAAACGTTTCAGTACCCACCAAATTCATGGACAATATTTGGACTCAGTTATGATACACAATACATATATACGGCTCAATGTTACCGTATTGAAGGCAGATGGAGTGAAGAAAAAAGCATCACATTCCACACTGGAGGGGACATGTCGGTTGATGGTAAGAGCAAAAAGTACACAAAATAATCGACAGGCCTTAAACATTTAGCCCAAACAACGACACAATAGTAATAGGCCTATATTATTTTTATTGGTCTTTATTCAGTAAGAAACATACATTTACAATTAATAAATAATTATAAAAAATGTAATAACATCCAACATACCATTCATACATCCACCACCCATCCACAGGAGGTATTAAATAAAATAAAGTCAATATTTTGAAAACAAATAGGTCTTGAATATTATATTTTTTCGAAACATGTAATTGTTGAATCTGGATTGTTTTGTTGTTTAAACATATTTTACCATTTTGATTTTATGTTTTTGTAAAAGATCAATTGCATACCCACACTCCTGTGTGCTTATGTATTTTTGTTGTATTTTTGACTGAATAACCCTTTCCCGTGGGTTTAAAAATATTTGTCTAAATAGCAAAACTATGACGGTTTGTTTCTTAAGTTGATTGGAAGGAAAAATGTATGTCAGACCTAAAACTTGCAGCAGTAAGCAATACTGTATTTGAATGGAATGTAAAAGAACTAAGAAGTAAGGAGGTAAGAATATGGTAAATCAGTAGCTAGGTTTTTAACATTTTAGGATTATTGTATTATTATTATTGTCAAAAAACACTATTGTCATCATCGCCATATCATCATCAAAATTATTATCACCGTCATCAACAGCATCCTCGTCACAGAGGGCCGTCTTCTCATAAGTCAAACTCCACAGCATCCGAACAGCCATATTATTTTGTTTTGTGATTGATGATACACATTGAATACAGCTTAGTGTACTGTTTGAAAGAAGAGATATTCAAAGTCAGTTTTCTTTCCTATATCATCAGTTTTGTCTACCAAGTACTTAAAGTAGATGAAAATCAAATTTCCATGATCTTGACCTTGTTTTTTGACCTTTTCTTTCCAACACTTTCTTAGATTATTATGTATCATTCCACTAAATTTTATGATGATCTATTTTTGAATAATGTTGCTAGCAGACAGGCGAATACAAACTTCTTGGGGGCGAAAGTATAAGAGTCAACAATGCACGCTATTATCCTATATCATCCCACCTCCCCATGATCCATGGTAAATATTCATTATGTGCATGTTTCTCAACTCACAGCAGTGTATTCAGAATGCTATAGATACGTCATGGATTCTTCAAATGAATGACACTGAAGCTGGAATTGTTCTAAATTATTCCGTAAAATGTCAGCAAGGCTGCCAGCATTGCAGTGATAAATCCCTTCGACCATGTAAGTCTAATACCAAAATATACTTTATAAAAAGACCTGGAAAAGTAATTACAATAGTCCTACTGTTAGTAGTATTGCTTCTATGATTCAGTTCACCCTCCAATTCGAGACCCCTCTAATTCTGAAAATTCCTAATTCCAGACCACTTTTTCAAAGTATCAGACAACCACCAAGCTAACCCTCTAATTATCTGAGATCGAACCCTGAAACCGCCCACATTTTCAGGTACCAAGAGTGGTCTCGAATTAGAGGGCAATCTTCATTGGCATTTAAAAGAGCTGTATACCAGATGACAGATACAGTACAGTGGATTTGAAATATTAAAGGTGGTCATGTACAAAGTACCGCAATGGTTAATGCACAATACTGTATTTAAATATATATTTTGTAGATCATCCACAAGAGATTACTTACAGATCAAGGACTGGATCAGACTTGTGTGTCAGATGGAAAGGAAATGTATCAACAAATTATACAATGTATTATAGACAAGGAAGGTAAGTTGAAATAATGATGATGCTGCTATTCTACTGCTGCTTCTGCTGATGATGATGATGATGATATTGATGATGATGATGATGATATTTCTATGCACCTGAAAAGAGAGTTTTTCGTTGAAGAGCTATGCTAATATGATCATGACATCAATTGTAGACCTAAAGTACATTCAAGCACCTTTATTGGCTTTTCTTCCCCGCACCAGCTTAAATGTCAATTTGTACTGCTGATTTTATTTCTGCTTCTATTCTGTATCATATTGTTTTACACAGGGTTTTTCTGTCGGGCATTTTCGTCACTTTCCATGCTTGGATCTTCTTCAAACATTGTCCAAGTAAAGACCTTATCAAAGATGTGCATATTAAAATATGACGTCATTCTATAACATAAATGGATGGACAAAGTATTTTATGAATGCAATTTTTATTTTCAAAATCGTTTTAAACTAGCTGCAACTATGTATGTTCTACAGCCTGTATTAGTTCCTGTTGTTCTGTATTTTGTACTTTTCTCTTGTTGGTATGAAAAACAAATTGAGCTATTTTCTGTCAGGAAGAATAAAGTAAAACTTGAACCCAATCTTGAATCTTGAATTTTTACTCTTAATCAAGCGGTATGATGCCTTGATAGCGAGATGTTGCAGGTTCAAATCCTGTCAGAAGTACCTTTTATGTCTTTCGTTGATGAGCTACTTCTACGATCATAATATCATTCTTATATTCACTGTAGTTACTAGTTATCTATTTGTTAATATAGGTCAATAAAATAGTGGTAGAAACAGCACTCAAAGGAACAATAATGGAAAGATCGTATTGGCATAGCCTATTCACAAAAACCTTCTTATGGATTGTTTGGAATGCTCCTAGCTGAAACTGAACCACTAATACCACTGATAACTCACTGTCATAGGGAGTCTTACCAGACAAGCCCCTGATAGTACTGTATATTGTAAACACAATCAAACCAACGACAATTTTCGAGCAAATATACACCCTGACAACGTGGGGCGGAGGGAAACTAATGACTGAATCTGCGCCAGGATTCGCCCAACAGGGAATCCGAGGTTCCCGTCGAGGTGGGAGGGGCGGACAATGTACCCGACGAGAACAAAGTGGGCTTGGTCGGGCGTTACTCAAAATATTTTTTAAGTGGTCCAGGGGTGTAGAAAATACATATAATGATAATGACGGTGATGGTGATGATAATGGTGAGAATGAGGGCAGTGTTGGTGGTGGTGGTGTTTGCGTGAAGATGGTGATGAATGAGATCTAAGGGTTTGGATAATCCATTATTTTATATGTATTGAGTATTTGTATATTTATAGAGGATACTGTTCAGATGAGTACCAGCGGTGCATAGCAGATAGGTCAGAGAACGAATTTTTTGAATGCTGCCCACAAAATCTTTATCCGGTTGCTCCTATTTACGTGAGGATAAATTATGAAAACAAATATATGTATGTGAATGGTACATTATACTGGTTGAGAGCTCAGACTATAGGTAAGCAAATGTCAACAACACTGGTTAGCTACACATTAATTCAGTTGTATGTGAAAAAGTGTCTCTGGTGAGATTCGAACCTGCAACCTCTCGCTATCAAGGCGAGTGTCATACCCATTAGACTAATGGGTATGAATCATTTGTTGCAATAATTTTGTACAGTTCAAGTGTAGAAATAACCGTACATACAATTAATGCACAGTATTGAAGGTACCTATACCAGCCCTAATTAATGACTTTATTCTTATGTTTTCCTGATAGCCATACCCAATCCACTCAAGAGTTTTACCTATCAGTTTCTGGATGATACAAAAGTTCAGTTTAAGTTTGAGGATCCTGAAGATTGGAATTTTGATTCATTCTCTTTATTGAATAAACGAATTTGTCAAATATCCCCACCAGATGAAAACGGTGCAAAATGCAAAACTAAAACGTTTCAGTACCCACCAAATTCATGGACAATATCTGGACTCAGTTATGATACACAATACATATATACGGCTCAATGTTACCGTATTGAAGGCAGATGGAGTGAAGAAAAAAGCATCACATTCCACACTGGAGGGGACATGTCGGTTGATGGTAAGAGCAAAAAGTACACAAAATAAACGACAGGCCTTAAACATTTAGCCCAAACAAGGACACAATAGTAATAGGCCTATATTATTTTTATTGGTCTTTATTCAGTAAGAAACATACATTTACAATTAATAAATAATTGTAAAAAATGTAATAACATCCAACATATCATTCATACATCCACCACCCATCCACAGGAGGTATTAAATACATTAACTCAATAATTTTAGTACCACAACCTACTACCCACCCATCGATTTCAGCATCCATCCATAACCCACTCACCCATTACACCACAGTACCCATTAAGCCATTTTTATTTAAAATTCTGATGTGTGTTATAATACGAACTTTGAATAGCTGAATTAGATTGTGGTAATTTTGAATTTTTTACGGCAACATTATATTATTGCGGTGTGAAAACGTAGATTGCTTTTATTACCTTTGATATGAAGCAGCAACAACACCTGGTCATCATGATCCAGTCAGCACAGAGATGAGGAATACATCTACAAGTACAACAGTTACAATGTTTACTTCAACTCAGAATCTGTCCAGTCTTCCGAGTCGGCCAGTTCAGAATAAAGGTATTAAACAAAAATTTATTAACGGTATGCATGATGTTCTTATATGTGACTTGGATATAAAAAGTATTAGCCAATGCACATCATCAGATGATGATGTTTGATGTTTGTTGTGTTTTGTGTATATTGAATAACGATAATGTCAGTGGTGATGTCAATAATATTTAAATGGAAAGTTGGTTAAATAATTACAGGACTTGGTGTCTGGATTCCAAAAAAAATCCTTCATTAAGAATGAATAACAGCATACAGTAACTGTATTCATTCTAAAGCATTTAATGCATTATTTCATAATTTCCCTCTAAACGGATTCTAAAGACCACCTTTAGTGTCAATCTTGTGAATCTAATGGAAAGGATTCTATTAGACTCCAAAATGGATTATTTTTGCAGACCAAACTGAACATGTTCCCATCAATCAAATACATTTATATATCCACCACCCATCCACAGGAGGTATTAAATAAACGCATTATTTACGGTGGTACTACTACCACCATCCATCCATAACTCACTCATCCATTACACCTCACTTCTCATCCACCCATTTTTATTTACATTTCTGTTGTGTGTTAAAATAAGAATTTTGAATAGCTTAATTAAATTCTGGTAATTTTGAATTTTATACGGTAAAATGACATTGTGATTTGGGCTGTGAAAACATAGATTGTGTTTATTATCTTTTATTTGAAGCGAAATCGTCAACAACACCTGGTCATCATGATCCAGTCAGCACGGAGATGAGGAATACAGTGTTTGCTTCAACTAAGAATAAAGGTATTAAACAAAAATGAATTAATGGTATGCATGAGGTATTGTTTTAATTTGATACTGGAAGTCTTTGGCAGGTATAAAAACCGGACGCACACTGCGTGCGTTGGCAAAAAATTTTAGACCAAAACAAATTTTCCTCCAACTAAAGTCCACTATAAACTTAATAGTGATATTAATGTTATTTTTTCTATAATAAATGTTCTTATATGTGACTTAAATATAAAAAGTATTAGCCAATGCACATCATCAGATGATGATGTTTGGTGTGTGTTTTGTGTATATTGAATAACGATAATGTCAGTGGTGATGTTAATAATTTTTAATTGGAAAGTTGGTTAAATAATTACAGGACTTGATATCTGGATTCCAAATAAATTCTTTCATTAAGAATGAATAAACAGCATACAGTAACTATTCAAATGCATTGTTTCTTAATTTCCCTCTAAACACAGAGGTCTAAGACCACCTTTAGGAAAAATGACAATTCGTCAGGGAGAAAAAAAAATTATATGTATTTTGCACATAGGCTATGAGTAGACTCTAAAATCAATAAAATAAGTCTTTAAAACCCCTAAATTGTCAAATTTTTCGGGGGCTTCGCCCCCTGCACAACTTTCGAGACATTTTAAGCGCCGCTCGACCACGCCCACTTTGTTCTCGTCGGGGGAAATCTTTCCCCTCGTCAGGGACATCGGACCTCGCCTCCTCCCCCCGTCGGCCAAGTCCTGGTGCCACCCCTGATCCGAATTCAGTTCGTTGGCTAACGAAACGAATAGGAAAATCGAATCTGTGGTAAAGAACGCACTAGAAGCGCATCGAAAATGTTCTAAGAATTTTGGTGTGGATTTGTTGTAAATTCAGCCAAAAGCCTGGTTCTCACGAGAGCCCTAGTAGCCGGATCAGGAGCTAACCGTTAGCGCTAACCGTTAGCACCTCTGTGAGAACGCCCGATCGGTTAGTGCTAACCGTTAGCGGTATCCGGATACCGCTAACGGTTAGCAAGTGCTGTCGGTTAGCACGTTGAGTGCGTTTCTATCATCAACCAATCACACGTACGCGTTTACAATTTCCAGTTTCTTATTGGCCAGTGATTCGATCATCATATTCTTGGTATCCGGATCGGGATCTTCTCGTATGGACGCACGGCAGCTAACGGTTAGCAGGATCCAGATCCTGCTAACCGTTAGCTGCCGTGTGAGAACATAGACTTAGGCTACGTTCAGACCTGGGAGGCCAGGCGTATCTAACCCCGGGTTATGTTAATCCATGGCGCATTTCGTAACTAGCAAGATGTCTAGACTGGGGGATTAACGAACGCTAGCGTAAGTATTCGCACGAAATATTTGTATTCGTAATTCGCGCATTTTATTTTCTGTTTACATTTAGGCTTATTTTGATTGGTCATATCCTGGCTGAGTTTAAAATCACTGATGCGTGACTGTCGTAAATCAGTCACGGATTACCGTACTCCAGTGATTGCGCGATATTACTGGCGTTCGCTACGCCGCGCCCAAGTTCACACCACTCGAATAATACGCTAGCGTAAGTCGTCGTGTCTGGACGGAGCCTAAGATAATAAATAGCAGAAGATAGAGCAGCTTCCCAGTAGTGGAACATCCGTTCGAAAGGCATTGTAGGTACACGGAGAGCCATTTTACCCCGTCCGCGCGGTGGCGCTATATAGCAATAATAAAGACACCACTCTGGTTCGTTTGTTTCCTGTAGTTTCTCCACTTAGTAAAATGGTCAAATTTTTCCCCATTCGCGGGAGGGCGGATGTTCCATAAATTTTAATACTAATACGTGGAGCAGCTTATTCTTCTGCTATTTAAGTTCTTTGATTCAGCTTAATAGCATAAAACATTCAAACGTATGCCTAATGTACTGTATGATAGGTCCAAATGAAAATTTTCCCTTCAAGAATACCTCCTTTCACTTTATTTTTCCAGCTAAAGTCCCCTTACTTAAAAATCCAAAATTTTTTTTTTTTTTCAGTTGCCTCGAATATTGTCCTGATTCTGCTAGGATTTGTTATCGCAGCAATGATTGTCGTTCTCTTTGGAGCTTATCGGTGGATGTCCAAAAGATTGTGTTGGAAAATTCCAGAACCGAATATTCCTCCTATAATTGTAAGATTAAACGAGAACTTACCTGTTCGAAGTTTGATCGTAATTCCATGAAGTAATAAAGTAGGAGAGATTATATGAGATACGAACAGCGCATGTGCAAATCAGAGTTGAACGCTAGCATGGTATTAGTAGTTACAACTTCTGCACTACCATACTTATAAAAACAGGGAATGAGCTTGGAGTCGTCAGAACAATAAACAACAATTCCTACGTATTCCAAAATTACGAAATTAAGGGTCGCGGAGGGAGGGCATATAGGCCTAATCTCCCCTACTTTATTACTTCATGAAATTACAATCAAACTTCAAACAGGTAAGTTCTCGTTTAATCTTACAGTTTCATACCGTAATACGTAGGAGATCTTATATGAGAGTTTGAAAGTCCAAGCTCATTACTCTACTCAATAAGAGAGAAACACGTATTAAGGTATCATTCAGAAATATGGTTTTATTAATACCAACAAACAGAATAAACTACGCTTAAAAATGCGTTTCTTTACTAAAACCAAGGAACATTTTCGTATTAACTTTGCAATCTATAGCTGATGTTTATAAGTGAACCTAAACCAGTGGTAGGACTACCACCATATAAAACAACACATTTGATTTTTTGGACCAAAAGAAATATGAACACTGTATGTATTACAGTACAACTTTACTTTCCATTGTCTTACTGTAATAATAGCTATTTTATTTATTAATCATTCGTTATCCATAAGAGGTTTTTTTTTTTTATAAAACCGATTTACTGTTTTCTGACTTGTCTATCCTCCTTTACTCATAATCACCTGAATAGGAATAGACTTCCGCATGTCGGCTGAGCAGGAAGCCGATCTTACATAATGAGGCATAACATTAGAACTATACTCTCTTCAATCATTTGGTTCTTAACATACCGTGCTACTGTGGGGCTACTTTATACATAAGAACAGCGATTTTTTCCCCTTCTGTTAATGTCGCTGTTAGATCCAATAATCCCTTAACGTTTGTACTGGATATATTTGTTGATCTTCTATCCAGTTCTATCTTTTAACCAGTTGCATTGTATGCCCATAATTATTTGATCTTGATGTTTTAATTAACTCCGTAATGACAAAATTTCATTCCAATATAGTTTCGCTGCAAATTGTCTAGGGATAACTTTTGAAGACTCTGAAGCCTGCTGTGGCTACCGTCATTAGTAGTGTGACAGTTTTTAATGTTAATAGTCGTAAAGATTGACTTATATTATCGTGACTTTTGAAGTAGTTAACACTATGTCTGTATAACATGTATAGGCATACCTAGGTACAGAACCTTTCATAAACCTGACCACAAGTGGGTGGTTCCCTATAGTTTGTCCATTATTAAACTTTAAACAAGAAGACAAAGCGCTTCTTGCTGTATTAACAGTTGAATACATATTAGCATCCATATACCGGTTAAAAACCAGAGAACTAAATTATATCCGGAATGAGATTACCCCGTGAGAATTCTACCCACTTCTTAAATGTAACAAGTTACTGCTTCCTAGTTGAATCCCTCCATGACGCGTTGATTAGGCTAATCGTCTCTGCTGGCAAGTTTTCAAGTTCCAGTGTCGCTCGAACGAATTACCTGCTAATAAACAAAAATTATTTATGTAATTGTTTCCCAGATACTTTACAAGCTAGGAAATGTAATCTGTCATTTAGTGGATGGATTCGATCCTATCCTGGGAGAGATAGTGTATGTCTACATTTCGGAATTGTTATTGGTGCCGCCTCAAGTAAATGTTGTAGCCTCCCAAACCAAGGTTGGGTTGGCCAATTCAGTACTATAAAGTATACATTTTGCTCGATCCTCAACTACTTTTTTTCAGGCATTTAAGCACAAGACAAAATGGAGGAAATGCATAAAAATGTATATTTTCCCAGTCTAATGAAAAAGCATCATAGTCCAATGCCCCTGGGTCGGGAAGCCAATATACATACTTATGCAATTGAGTCATTCCATGAATCCAACACACTTATTTGCCCGACCCCCTTCAAATCGCCCAATATTTTGCATGTTGGGGGTTCTACCTGAGATAACCCCACAGTGAAATTTTTGGCTCCGCGCCAGCATTTTCTGATGGGTTTGAATTTTTCATGAGATTTGGCTAAAAAACTCATCTCTGACAGACAACTGCTGATATCTCTCTTGAAACTCAACGTATTGGAGAAATTCTGGTACCGTTGGATAGAGAAGAAGATTCTCTTTCCAATGATATGCAAATTTGACCCAAAATATCACAAAAGTATATATCTCGATTTTTGGAAAATTCACACCTCAGTTAGGACACTTAGCCCACATGATGCCCTTAAAGTTTCATTGTGGGCAAATAAAATATATTAGCTCTAGACTACATTTTGTGCCTAGGTATTGATAGTTTCACTGAGTTTCCAGGAAATCTGCTGATAGATTCCATAAAAATTGGCACCATAGTATAGTGAAAATCAGGGGCCTTAATCCCAGAAAAATGGTCACGGGGCCCCTGATTTTCTCTATACTATGGTGCCTAACTGAGGTGTGAATTTTCCAAAATTCGAGATATATACTTTTGTGATATTTTGGGTCAAAGGTCAAGGTCACGTGACTTGACCTATATAATTCTCACTAGTCCGGACATCATCGAGTTACATATCATTGGAAAGAGAATCTTTTTCTCTATTTAACGGTACCAGAATTTCAAGAGAGATATCAGCATTTGTCTGTCAGATTAGTTTTTTAGCCAAATCTCATGAAAATTTCAAATTGCTGTAACTCATCAGAAAATGTTGGCGCGGAGCCAAAAATTTCACTGTGGGGTTATCTCAGGTAGAACCCCCAACATGCAAAATATTGGGCGACTTGAAGGGGGTCGGGCAAAAAAGTGTGTTGGTTCATATGGAATGACTCAATTGTATGTTTAGCCTTGTTGCAAACAAGTCTATAAAATGTCTGGTTTACCAAATTTAGTAAATACTTCTTCCACCAGTTCTTTACTAATCTGCCATTCTAATTCCTCATCAAATTTTCCAGATTTCATATCAGCCATTATATTGTCCCTGCCAGCTACATGAACAGCTGAAATCTATAAGTTTTTGCTTATTGCCCATTGGCAAATGTTGTTTGCTAAATTATTGCATGATTTAGATTTTGTGTCTCCCATATTATTTATATAAGCTTTGGCTGTGAACATGGCAATTTGATATGTGTTTGAAATGCCTGTAAGTTTAGAAAAACAGCAAGTAAACTCCAGAGAGTTTATATTATTATTTTCTATATTAGGGGGTTGGTCGATCTTAGACCATCGCCCCCCCCCCCCTATATAGGACACGCCATTTGTGCTTCCCCATCCTACACCACTGGTATCTGATTCAGTGGTGAGCAATGGGTTAGGCTGAAAGTAGGATTTCTCATTGAAAGGCCACTTATTTCCCACCATTCAATCTCGTAACGCATGGCGTTATTCATGTAAACATGTGCTTTAAAATCACCTTTGTTTATTCTCAAGGCTTTTATTTTCTTTAATTCTAGATGCCTATAATGAAGCTTCCCAAATTCTGATGCAGGAAAAGCGGATACAATTTTTCCTATGTAGCAAGCTAGTTTCCGAATTGACACGTGCCCCGGGCGCCAGGTCTTTGGGGGGGGGGGGCCAGGTTTGGGGGCGCGCTGAAGGGCGCTGAAATGGGAGGATGAGAGTAAAAAAATAAGCACTTTTTAGAAAAACACGACGAAATTGATGTATGTTGTCAGGCATGAATATTTTCCAGTTAATAATAAGAATCTGAATGTAGTTGTTTTTATTGGCAAATTTATAGATTCTGATTTCTTTTCTGTCCATTTCGACCGTTTTCTCTTGTTTTTTATCCTATTGTGTAATGACTACATGACTAAAGCTCATCCTGCCATATCTATGAGCCACGATGGGAAAAGCGAGACTATCTGCTTTGGCACTACTTAGTATTGAGCGTGATGAAGTAGACAACACTGTTAACTTTGGTCATGTTATTAATTTATTTGCTAATGAAAAAGCACACAAAATTCAGTTGCAAGTTTAAACAATGTTAAAAATTCAGCAACTTACAAGACTCTACTATAAGATAAATTTAAGCATACTAAGCTGTATGCGATAAATACAACAGCCTTACAAATTAGGTAATGGTAAAGTTGTATACATTGCAGTTTCAATAGTAAGAAACAGGGGTGGCGCCAGGTCCGCCTCCCCTTCGGGGGCTGCTTCCCCGTCAGGGAGAAAACCATAAATCGTTGGGGAGACAAAAAATTATATGTATTTTTTACATATTAGTAGACTCAAAAATCGATAAAATAAGCCTTTGAAACCCATAAATTGTCAACAATTTTCCGGGGCTTTGCCCCCCTCCCCCCTCCCCGACCACTTTCGGAAGATTTTAAGCGCGCTCGATCACGCCCACTTTGCTCTCGTCAAGGAAATCTCAGACCCCCAAAAAAATTTCTGGGGGACAAATGCCCTCCGTCCTTCCCCTCACCGTAGCGCCGCCATTGCAAACTAACGTAATATAACCACATAAATTCCATCTAATTTAACAAAAATAATAAGATACTAGGCCATTTATTAAAATAAAGTTCTCTGAAGGTTAACTGCCGAATTTTTAGTAGGCCTATATTGTAACTAATGTATTATAGCTTGTAAAAACTGTAGAGAAAACCTTTTCGCCTGACATTAGGCGAGACTTGTTTAGCGAACCCGCCGACTGCAAATATTGATGATTTGGAATAAAAATAAAATTTTATCTTTGGCCCATTTAAGCGCACCCGCCGACACGAAAAGGTGGACATTTCAGAAAAAAAGTTTTTTTTTTCTTTTTATTACGCCCTCCGCTGCTTTGCAATTTCTAAAGATAAGATATGTATATTTCTAACTAATTATATAAATTTGAAGCATTTAACCATCCAATTTTACATTCACCAATAATTTTTTTTTCTCCTCCGTCAGGATGATTTTGGCAAATCTATATGCTAAATAAGAAAACAAAATTTTATTTATTCCGCCTGCCTCCAATAATCTTTAAAAAATTAGTGCGCGAAACAAGGAATAAAAAGGTCTCGCCTTGCAAATTAGTCGTTTGTGAAACGAAATTAGGCCTATATACTAGGTCAAATGTTATACTGTGTTAAACAGCGGCGGGTCCCAGCCGGCCCGGTCCCCCACCCTCATAATTTTTTTCAAAATCGTTTAAAAGATAAAGAAAACAGAAAATTATATTCAAATTTAAATCTGAGAGTGCCATTTCCGACCATCTAGAGGTGCCGTACCTCAGCTCTAACCATGGTGTGGATGAGGCGGGCGGACATTTTATCTGTACAAGTCCCTCCCTGGCCTCCTCACGCTATTTCGAATTCCTGGACCCACAAGTGTTGAAATACCGGGCTCCTAGAAGAGTAATATTTATCCGTCGGGTGAAAAGAGAAGGTTCGTTGAGGAATACCATATCAAGGATACACCTCACATGATGAATAGTTCATTGTGATCGTGGAAGCAATCTCGATTTTCTTCAGACAATACAACAATTATTAACTCATATATTACATAGCTTGATGCCCATAAAATAATAATACAGTACAATTACCAAACTTCGTCAAATATCCGTAGATTCCAGGGTGGCTTCGCCTCCTTGACACCCACCGGGGCCCTTGGCGGCTCCCTGGCCCCAGCATAGGTGTTCGCTTAGCTCGCATACTGGATTTATTACCTTATGAAATGCCCCACCCCACCACTTTCAAGATGTCCAAATACTTTACAAACAATTAGAAGAGTATCATGCAAGGGCCGTTCAATTTCTACCAGCAATTTTATGGATTTTGGTAGTAAAAAGTCTGTGAATCATTGACCAATATTTTTATAATATCGTGACTTATTTGTGATTTTTGGATGAACATTAACATTTATTTTATTTTTTTAGGTTTTTCTTATTTTTGGGTGGCAATAGGCCTATATGATAATTACGTCGAATGGTCTTCAAAGAATATAATTTGGTTATAACCCCGGGCCGGTAAAGAGATTACAGCGCTGGGGCGGATGCAGAGGGGGTGCGGTCGCACCCCCTTAAATTGTATTAAGAAAAATAATTGTTGTATTTTATTGTTGTAAGGTATGAGCATGGAGGAAACCTCCATGGTATGAGAGTGCAATTTCTGGGCACCAATAGGCAGGCGCGGATCGAGACCTCTTCGTATACCGTTCGCCAGTATAAAGTGATAGCAGTACCTGGTGTTCCGGCGAATTCCAACTCTTTCTGTCAGAAATGCCACCTACCTAAACCAAAGACAAAAAAAAATATATAGACAAATAAACATTTTGCATTGTCTAAGTAATAATCAAAGAGGGACTGTAATTAACTCGGCTGCGCGATAACGTATAAGGGTACACTGTTGAGTTTTTTTATTATTATTACTGTATTATGATTTATGTCACAATGTATGGTTAATACAAAATCAATCACAGGGATTATAGGCTACATGTGTGTTGATTCTTATAACCTTATTGAATGGCATATATAAATTTATTATATTTTGCTATTCCAAAATTAAACCAAAGCGAAAACATATTATCTTAATTATTACTTTTTGATTAATGAATTATTATTTCATTATTTTAACGAATGCTATTCGTAAAAAAAAAAAGACAACAACAACAAAGTCATTAATGGAGTTGGTAGCCTCATTGTAGACCTAGAGCTTAAAACTTACAAACACACTTAGATACAGTACATCTAAAAAGGCGTTAGAAGTGGGGAAAAAAACTGAGAAATTGAGAAGATATGATATCTAATAAGCGTATAATACTGTATTAATTGGCAGATAAATTGTAAAGTTTCCAGGCCCGTATATCCAGTAGGTGTGTTACGAAGAGAGTGATAAACATGGATGTATATAAAGCACCCAACCAAATTCGATAAGGTCCACATTTCCAAGACATTCGAGAATGTACTATATATAAATTTGTGATTTTCTGTGATTTAAAAATACAATCTTTAATTTTTACATTTTAACCAGGGGGCCTAATCTACTCAGTCTGTCGTGATTCGGAAAAACGCAATTTATTCATTTTTTTTTCTTAGGGGCACCCTGTGGATGTAATCTATCATGGAACGTGATCATATAGGCCTACTCCAAACAATTTTTCGAAATTTTATTTTAAGTAGTTTTCGCCGCACAACGTTAACCTTAACTTTACGTTAGTACCCAACATGGAACGCGATAGCTCCGCCCCTTTTTGTAAACAAATCGAAATACACATGCGCAAACCCGTAACTAACGTACGTCGAGCACGTAAAATCCTGAAATTTACGTACTCCGCAATGCAAGATGAATAAATTATGACGTCATCCGTTAAGGTTAACGTCGTGCGGCAAAAACTACCTATTATTATGAGCGTTACGCATTAAATCCGACCGTCCAGCCACTAAGTATTGAAATGCTGGCAATCAACTAATCACAGAAGATGTTTATGCATAGTGTATACTTTCCCAGCTGGTGGCGGTACAATAAAAATGCATTATTATTTTAAGTTACAACTTAAAAGTTGTAGTCATACGATTAATTTTAGAACCGCATTATTAACAAGATTATTAGGTTAATCCTTCCACGTCAGCGCGTGCACTAAAAACTTATTTTTTTATTTCCTTTTTTTTTAATTGGATTTAACATGTGTATAACGATTTTGATAAACTTCTCTGTACTATCTATTAAACATTTAAAGAATGAACTTCCTTATGTTGTGGTCATATTAGACAGTAATATTTTTTAAAGAAGACCAGTCAACAAACAAAACAAAATTTCCACGTCCATGCATGCATAAAATGTATAATTTCCTGAAATTTGGATATAGAGCGGACTTCCTTATGATGATAATAATAGTAGTAGTAGTAGTAGTGTAGTAGTAGTAGTAGTAGTAGTAGTAGTAGTAGTAGTAGTCGTCGTCCTAGTCCTAGTCCAGGGGCTCCGAACAACCCCCCCCCGCACCCCCTGCTTTATACATGTCATTATTTTTTCAGTTAACTATATGTGTAAGCTTTAAAAAAACACCTTATTACTCAAGCGATTTCTGGTTGCTAGTGCCTGTAAACCAACATCAAAGATGGGTACTTTTTTTGTTCAATATTAAGATTGATATGGAGTGATGGGTGGAAACATACATTTCCTATGATTTGGTATAAAGGACAATGTAATTACATCGTTAATTATGTTACAAAAGGTCATCTTCCAATGATCAACATAAAATTTGACCCAATATATTATATTAAAACTTGTGATAATAGATTTTCCTTCCTGGTAAAACTGAATCAACATGAATGAAAGTTAACTGAAGTAAAACATATATAAAAATACACATATAGATAAAATTGGGACATCTAGCTTTAATCAATACAGAGTTATGGCTCCAAAAATAAGTGGGCGTGTGCATATATAGGCCTATGCATTTACCATTGGATTTTGATACGAATGAAAAAGCTCCTAACTAGCTTTAAATAGCAGTTATGATGCAGAAAACTGGTGATGTACCTTAAAAGTGACCGGAGAACTATTAATTCAGTGTGTATTCATTCATCAATAGAAGTCTCGTAATGCACTGAGGCTGAGGGACCCCATGCGATAGTCAGGGTAAAGCTCTGTTTCCATATAATCGCCCACCATATCGGCGATAGTCACCGACAATTTTCGGGAAGGTTTGACCTGGTTCAACTTTTCCGATTGCGTTGCAGATTGTTAGTTGCCCTACGTAATTGCAAAGGCACCCCGATTCGTCTGTGAACCACAACTGTTACGAATGTCGCCGATAGGGTGAGCAATTCTATGGAAACCCAGCTAAAACTCTGGATCCGCGCCTGAGAGGTCCCTATTCTCAAAATTTTCTGTTCCCTCAGCCCTGTCCATAGTGGGGCAGTGAGGTGGACCCTCACGTACTCACTACCGCCAAATCCTGCATCCGCCCCAGCAGGGGAGCATATCCCACAAACATACAAATAAATTTTAAAAAAAAGCATTAACTGTAGTATTAATGCTATAAAAAAAAAAAAAAACTGTGTAAATTAAAGAACGACTGAAGCTCCCAAACCGGAGTATGGGTATACATACTGGGGCCTGTCAAAATGTTCCCCAATCCGCATCTGATGATCTGTTTAGTATCGGTCATCTTGAATTGGGCGTCTCATGTGCGATAATCACATTATTAACGGTGTTATTTAGACCCATCTGTTAATTTTCATTAAAAAGAAAAGAAAAAAACGTTTTCGAATTGTAGTTCTCAATTTTAAGCAAATATTTTTCTGAGTAGACTCAATAAACATTATAAATATTGGTTTTTTTTGTTTTTTTTTTGTTTTTTTTTTTGTTTTGTTTTTTTTTTTTTTTTTTTTTTTGTCTTTTTGTTTATTTTACCTAACGCATATTTTACCAATGTAATTTTATCAGAAATCAAATTTATTCATTATCATAATTCTTTATCATATCACTAGGTTGATTTTAGGGTTCCAAATACTGTAGTAGAAAAAGAAGTGTTTGACGAGCTCAGAACAAGGAATGAAACATTATCTGTAACCTCGAACAACGCTGTTGACAGTGGTCGGGGAACATCTGAGGGCACCCCGGATGAAAGCAGCTTCAATAAATACATTCAATTACAACTGCTCAACGACCAAATCTCGGCCAATCACATGCACACACACCGAGGCTTCAAACACGAAATTGTTGATGACAGTGCTGAAGACAACTCAGGAAGTAACCATGGTGATGGAGTTGGCATTAGTGAATTTTCATTTATGAATTTAATTTATGAGAATAAAGTATTGGTGAATGAAAACATGGGAAGGAAATTGCACGATTATGTTAATGATGACGACAGTAGTGATGATGATGATGACGATGACGACGACGATGATTGTGATGATGGTGATGACGATGGTAATGAAACGTATGATGGTGATGATGAGGTAAATGATAATGATGACGATAATTACGGAGACGTGAGCGGAGACGCCGACTACGACGATTATGTGAACGATGGCAACAGTAATGCCACAGACGCAGTCTCCCAATTCAACATGCTTGATATAAATAATAGAGAATACTCGGTATTGACGATAGCAAACAAGGTACATAATCTCAACTTAGCTGTCAATCAAACGTAACTGAATGACAGGGGCAGGATTGTTGTCGTACATACGTTGTCGTCTTGTGGGACCTTAGCAACAACCCCATGCATTTATTTTAGCTGGGAAATGGTGATCTTGACAACACTATGGGCAAATGCTCTGATTAAGATCAGCTTAAGCAAATTTGTTATACTTTGATAGTGCAACAATGCATACTAACTATTTTAATATTTTTTAAAGGCATATTTCAATACAGTTTACAGTAGTTAAATTGGATAATATATATATATCTATATAGGCCTATATATATATAAATATAAATTTAAAGTGTATGTATGTTAAGTAAGATAATGATAATGTAATTCTATGAAACTTGTAATCGCTTTAAAAACAGGTGGTTGGTCTGTGACACGTGTTATGCAGAGCTTAATGGGCTTAGATGTTAGAATTGATGCAATTTGCAATAAATGTTACCTAATATAATTATATGTGAGCATGGTCGTTTATGTTTGTTTTTTATTAACCATATTTACAGAGGGTGGTCTTTCCAACGTAAGGTGGATTGATATTCAGCGGCTTATAAAAGCACAACGTCCTTGAATCATTTCTTTTACAAATGACTTGGATTTTTCTGGTATGTTTATTGTAAATATTATGAAATTTCAAACAGGCCTAATTTAAAATTTTCTATAATACTTTATATTTATTTAATTGTTAGGCCTAATTATTTTAAGGGGTAGCTGGTTCATTTGAGTTACAGCAATGTACTTTGCTTAATCTACCCCTGTCCAGCATTCATTTTTTGTTTTTCTCACAGGCCTATTGTATTTTATTGTCACGGTGTAAATGTTGGTTGAATACATAAATGAAATGAAAATAAGTCTGGCGATCTGGGGTGGCGCCAGCGGCCATCCCCCACCCCCGCCGGGGAGAGCTCCCCCGCCCCACCCACCTTCGGGGAGAAACAATTTTTTTGTATTTTCTACATATAGTAGACACTAAAATCGATTAAATAAGAATTTGAAACCCCTAAATTGTCACTATTTTTGGGGCCACTGGACCACTTCTGAAAGATCATGAGCCACGCCCACTTTGTTCTCGCCTGGGACATCGGCCCCTCCCCCTGCAAATCTAAAGAAATAGGCCTAGCAAGAGATGTGTATAAGAGACAGTATAATTTGAGAAGTAGGCCTATGAGAAAAGGCGTAAGATTTTCGGCACACGAATTAAGTAAAGTAAATACATCAAAAACAATTAGGCCTAAGTTATATTTTCTATGGTACAATACAGAATAATTAGATCTATACAATAGCCGAAAATCGCTGATAAGAGATTATGGTGATGTTGTGAAGATTACTTTACTCTTTTAAGACCCAACATTAAAAAAAACCCGCAACAACTTTGCATTTCATTTCATGAGGTTGTTAGGCAATGTGTAGTAAATCCAACTAGAGAGGGCAGCAGACACTTTTTCTGGAACATCATACTCTTTGACATCAGACAGTATTTTCAGCCAGATTGATTGTGTTATTAAGGTATGGTATAATCAAAGTATATTGACAAAACAGTGCTGAGCAGCGAAGCGTAACCAATAGAAGAAGATGTCTACCGCTGCAGCGTAAAAAAGGCCTTCCTATGGACAAAGTACGACATCTCGTCGTTCTTGGTGGTGGGATAAGTGGTTTGTCAGCGGCATATTATTTACAAAGAATGTCATTAAATGGATTGAAACACACCATAAACTTGAGTAATCAGTATAATAAGGTAAATATCTTGGATTGGCCTAGGCCTAGGCCTAGCCTAGGTAGTATCAGGGTAGCCGATCACTTCGGTCTCGCTTCGTTTCGGTCGCGCCTCATTTCGGAAGCGGTTTATTTCGAACAAATATATGGAGCGCCGAAGTAGTTGCGAAATCGCAAAATTTAATATGCCTAGGCCCTATAGAATTATAATCGGTTTATCATAGGCCTAAGTATTTTTTTTTTCCGTTTTGCTATCTTTCTACTAACATATTTATTTTCTTCCATTTTCGGTGATATTATTCGTCGCTCACATCACGAACTAACACAATTAAATTCAATTGTGTTAGTTCGTGAAATCAAAAAAGCGCGTTAAAATACGCGCTGCTGTCGTTAAGGACTTTTTGTGTGGTGTAAAGAATACAAAATTGCTTGACAACCAATACGCGCTCGTTTTGACGCGCTACTGTGATTTCACGAACTAACACAATCTACTTTGATTGTGTTAGTTCGTGATGTGAGAGACGAATTCATGATTGAAACATGATCTTATGATTGAAACAATTGAGTTTAGTATGTGCTTCATGCTATTCTTTTTGTTGCGTTTTCATATACTATAATTTAATAATTATGGTCAATAAAATGTATCTTTGATTTTAATTGAATGAATTGAGTGTTGTTACCATCTGAAATCTATTTCATAATTTAGTTAAAACAATAATCATTACATTATTTAATCCGGTGTTTCTATACAATAAATTTATTTATTTTTCTTGCAGCTTCCAGAGTCTGAATAAAACATAACAAGAGAATTGAGGGAAACACAATTAAAGAAATAAACGAATAATACACACATTATCATTCTTCACATGAAATCTTAAGTTTTCTTTGATATCCCAGCGCAGTTCATAAATAAGATATGAATATATATATTTATATATGATATTATATAAGCATATAGGATATACCTAGAAACAACTATATATATATATATATATACATATAGGCCTATATACACATACATATATATATTTATACATAATATAATATTATATATAATTTATACATATTTATTTACATTACACATGAAATCATATAGGCCTAACAAATATCATCACACATGATCAGCAGCCAGCGCAGACGATTCAAAGTTAATGGTTTCATGAAGTAGGTGACGTGAACACACGTAAAATGGTGAACTGCGCTCCAGCGCACGTGTTTGTACCTAGAAATAGCTAGTCATTTATTTTAGCATCTGACCTACTTCTGTCTTGGCAGTAATGTATCGAAAATGGAAATAAAACAAACAAAAAATCACAAACCTTGTGTCAGCTTTGCCTTAAGAGTACCATGGGAATCAATTTGTGGAAACGTTTCTTTCCACAATTCTAGTTATATAACTAAAGAAATAGGCCTAGCAAGTTCAGTGATTTTCTCGGGCTTATGAATATAAAAGAATCATGAAACGGCTTTTAAAATGTACAGCATGCAATTATAAATTTATTGATAATTTTATATGGAAAGTATAAATACCGTATGAAAATACATATTTCCTTTACAATATTATTATAACCATGATCAGAACATATGGTAAATGGAAACGTAACAGACAAGAAAAAAAATGTATGCGAAACTAATCTATTGACTATACTATACTTATTCCATAAATCTTTATTTGATTCAAGCAGAATAACAAAAATTATTTTATATATTTTATTAAAACATGAATATTTCGACCTGACCTCAGGTCCTCTTCAGCATGACTGATTAACATTATGAGA